GCCGATCACAAAAAGACAAATACTGTATGATTATACTTATATCAAGTAGCTAAGGTAGTCAAATTCATAGAAACAGAAAGTAGAATGGTGTTAACAGGGGTTTGGCGGGGGGAGGGAAATGGGGAGTTGTTATATAATGAGTATGGAGTTTTGGTTTTGCAACATAAAATATTTTGGAATTTTGTTGCACTTAACAATGCATATATACTTAACACTACTGAAATGTATGCTTAAAAATGGTTAAGATGATCAGTTTTGCATTAAATGTAGTAAAACAATTAAAGTGCAGTAAAGCAATTTTTAAAAAATTTGTTACATCTCTCTACCAAGAATAACTGATCCAAAAATAAAATTACAATGAAACCAATTACAATAGCAGCAACAGCTATAAAATATCTAAGAATTAGCTATGAAAAAGTAAATTTTCAAAACCATAATAAAGAGCAAACAAGATGATTTGAATAAATGAGGAAATACTCTCTGCTTTTTCATGGGATTAAAAACAACAACAACAACAACGCTCCTAAGTTGCTTTTTATTATTATTATTATTTTTTTTGGCTGCGCCACACGGCTTATAGGATGTTAGTTCTCCGACTAGGGATTGAACCTGGGGCCCCGGAAAATGAGACTGCTGAGTCCTAACCACTGGACCACCAGGGAATTCCCTTAAGTTGCTTTTCAAAACTTGTATGTGCCATTAATTTGATTTTTCCCTTAACAGATCTGTGACCTTTGGAAGCATTTTCACATCATTTGTCTACATGCAGTACATATTTCATTCTTGTGAGTGTATTCCTTTATTAGCCAGATATTTACTGGGCACCTACCATGTGACAGACACTTTATACCTCAGCTTTCATGGAGTTTACATCCCTGTGAACAGAATACTGAACATCTTCCCATTTAAAACAAAACTAATCTAATTAAGAAATTATGAAACGTAAGGTAGATAGCTAGTGGGAAGCAGCCGCATAGCACAGGGATATCAGCTCGGTGCTTTGTGACCGCCTGGAGGGGTGGGATAGGGAGGGTGGGAGGGAGGGAGACGCAAGAGGGAAGAGATATGGGAACACACGTATAACTGATTCACTTTGTTATAAAGCAGAACTAACACACCATTGTAAAGCAATTATACCCCAATAAAGATGTTAAAAAAAAAAGAAATTATGATATTGAGCTGCTTGTAAATTTTGGAGATTAAAGGATTAATCTCCAAAATTTACAAGCAGCTCATGCAGCTCAATATCAAAAAAACAAAAAATCCAATTCAAAAATGGGCAGAAGACCTAAATAGACATTTCTCCAAAGAAGATATACAGATTGCCAACAAACACATGAAAAAATGCTCAACATCATTAATCATTAGAGAAATGCAAATCAAAACTACAATGAGATATCATCTCATACCAGTCAGGACGGCCATCATCAAAAAATCTAGAAACAATAAATGCTGGAGAGGGTGTGGAGAAAAGGGAACCCTCTTGCACTGTTGGTGGGAATATAAATTGATACAGCCACTATGGAGAACAGTATGGAAGTTCCTTAAAAAACTAAAAATAGAACTACCATGTGACCCAGCAATCCCACTACTGGGCATATACCCTGAGAAAACCATAATTCAAAAAGAGTCATGTACCAAAATGTTCATTGCAGCACTATTTACAATAGCCAGGAGATGGAAGCAACCTAAGTGTCCATCTCCAGATGAATGGATAAAGAAGATGTGGCACATATATACAATTGAATATTACTCAGCCATAAAATGAAACGAAATTGAGTTATTTGTAGTGAGGTGGATGGACTTAGAGTCTGTCATACAGAGTGAAGTAAGTCAGAAAGAGAAAAACAAATACCATATGCTAACACATATATATGGAATCTAAGAAAAAAAAAAAAAGGTCATGAAGAACCTAGGGGCAAGATGGGAATAAAGATACAGACCTACTAGGGAATGGGCTTGAGGATATGGGGAGGGGGAAGGGTAAGCTGTGACAAAGTGAGAGAGTGGCATGGACATATATACACTACCAAACGTAAGGTAGATAGCTAGTGGGAAGCAGCCGCATAGCACAGGGAGATCAGCTCCGTGCTTTGTGACCACCTAGAGGGGTGGGATAGGGAGGATGGGAGGGAGGGAGACGCAAGAGGGAAGAGATATGGGAACATATGTATATGTATAACTGACTCACTTTGTTATAAAGCAGAAACTAACACACCATTGTAAAGCAGTTATACTCCAATAAAGATGTTAAAAAAAAATTATGGGTAGCAAAATGCATTTATAGATTGACAATTCTCAGTGAGTTGCCTTTTCTTCCTCTAGTCCTTTTTCTCAGAGCTTAAACTTCTGGAGGATTCCTGGCTTCATGAGATGAATATAATCAAGATGAGTATCATTAACATAATATTTTTAAAAATCAAAGCTAAAGCCAAAATTTCATGACAAACAAAATATCAAAATTTTAAAGACAGGATGCTGCACTGCAATGCCATGCCACCAAGTCTGAGGCAAAAGGCAAAAATGTATGTCCCTATATAAATGCTTCTGTGTGTTTCTTAATAATTATTTTTTCACAAACATTAAAGTATTTGAAAAAATAATGAAATGTTGAAAAGTAGGTGTACTAAAACTCACGTCATTTTAGTTTAAATATTTTATTTATACCCAAGCCAGAATTGACTATAATTTTACTTTCCTGATTTTAATGGAATCCAGTCCAATTTTTAATAGCTTTAAAAATTGACTTTTGGGAAAAACTAGCCACTAAAAAATACACAAAAGCATGTATATAGGAGTGCACATTTTAAAATTTTGCTTTAGGTTCCAATATATGTTTTCAAGGAATTCATAAAGATGTAGTTAGTTCAACCTGCTTTACACAGTGCATGGAAAGCCTTAGAATCTAACACAGAACTTTGGCTAACTGGTTCATTCAATCAGGTAAAACAAAATATTTAGAAAGGTTTCCTTTTTACACTTTTAGGCTAATTATTCCAGAAATTGCCTCAGTACTTGCTTTGGCTTGGTGTCAGATATTTGTACTCATAAGAACAAAGATAAAAGAACTTCATGAGGCTTAACGTGGAATCCTTTCTATCAAATACATTTAAAACATATATTTGGAAACATTTAAAGTCTACTGTGAACAGAATTACCAGGAATTTGGGACAGAAGTGACAATGAGAATCTGCTTTAAAGAAATGGATCATACTCAATTATAGAGCTCTGCCTTATTAGTTGAAAATTGGAAGTAGCTTCCCTGTTATTTTCTATTATGATGTGTTTTTTATATTATTTTAATTTCCTGTTTAAGAAATTTGTGGGACTTCCCTGGTGGGCCATCTTGCAATGCAGGGGACACCGATTTGATCCCTGGTCAAGGAATTAAGATCGCACATGCCGTGGGACAACTAAGCCCATATGCCGCAACTACTGAGCCCATGCGCTCTGGAGCCCGTGCGCCGCAATGAAAGATCCCGCGTGCCGCAACTAAGACCTGATGCAGCCAATTAATTAATTAATTAATTAAAGTTAATTAAATAAAACCTGATCTTTTTTTTTTTCCCGGTACGCGGGCCTCTCACCACTGCGGCCTCTCCCGTTGCGGAGCACAGGCTCCGGACGCGCACGCTCAGCGGCCATGGCTCACGGGCCCAGCCGCTCCGCGGCACGTGGGATCCTCCCGGACCGGGGCACGAACCCACGTCCCCTGCATCGGCAGGCGGACTCCCAACCACTGCGCCACCAGGGAAGCCCCATAAAACCTGATCTTTAAGAAAAAAGAGAAATTTGCAGTCTTCCAAAAATGAAAGTGAGAGTGCCACAAATGTACATGAGCTCCAAATCAATTTTAAATTAACACATGAAGAGAATTTTGACCACTTTTGGTTTGGAGTGGAATGTAGAATTAAACATGCACCCAGATTTCATACCATGGATATGCCAAAAGTTATTTTGAAATCCCTCTTGGCAAAAATTATATTCCACTATGATTCAGAGTTGCATCATAACAAGAGTTTGTTTAAAGATTGGGGTTTGAGAAATGTAACATTTGTATTTTCCTTGAAAAAATATGAGAGATCAAATGCTTTGCTGCTAGAGCTTTTTATAAATGACTCAGATTGCGTGCAGTTGGTTCAATCTTTAAGTAGCTCTTAAAGATAGTCTGCTAAGTGGTGGGAAGAGAAAAGCAGAGAGATAGAGTGTTTTTAAAAGCATCTATGTGCAAGTAAGCAGGGCAGTGCACTGATACTAGGTTATAATGTTCTACAGAATAGTAATACACATTGAGAAGTGCTAGACATAACTAGACTTATCATGGTGATCATTTTTAAATGTATAGAAATATCGAATCACTATGTTGTGTACTAGGAACTAACATAGTGTTGTAGGTCAATTATACTTTAAAAACAAACAAAAAAAACCTCATAGAAAAAGAGATCAGATTCGTGGTTACCAGAGGCAGGGGGTGGAGAGAAGGGGATTTGGATGAAGGTGATCAAAAGGTACAAACTTCCAGTTGTAAGATAAATAAGTACTGAGAATGTAGTGTACAACAGGATCAACATAACTAACACTACTGCACATTATATATGAAAGTTGAGTAAATCAGCTAAGAGTTCTCATCTTATCTTTAATTTTATATCTATATGAGATGATAGATGTTCACTAAAAGAAAAAGAAAGAATAAATTTCAATGTCTCCTGGAAAGTAAAAAAAAAGAAGTGTTAGACTTGACCTGGGGGTCGGGGGGGGGGCGGTGGTGGGTAGCTCGGAAGGCTTATCCAAGGAGGGGATGATTGAGTTATGTTTGAACCTAAAGGATGACTCTCAGTGGGAAAGGAGAGCAGGTGCAGAGACAAAAGCATGGAGCTGGGGAGAGCAGACTGGGTTCTTGAAACTAAATATAAAATTCAGCTTCTAAGAGAGATATGGTAGAGGAGGAAGCAGTAGGACGGAAATACTGAGCTGGGCCCACACCCTCTTTACCCACACAGACTAATGCCTCCTGAGAGTCACAGAAGCTGAAGGAGCAACTGCAGTTCTTCCGAAATACCCAGAGAGAGGCAACGACAGACCATGGGCAGGCAAGTGAGAGGGGCATGAGCTCTCTGGGAAAGTGGAGATAAACCCTCAACAAGTAGGATGGACATTGAAAGGAGGGGAGAAAATTCACCGTCAGGTGCCACCAGGCCTGGGTACTTGGAGGGATGGCCTTAAAAAGTATTTTAATAAAAAAGAGGTTTTTGAGGTGTCAATGCCAAATTGTTCTCTCTTGAAACCTAACAGTATCACTCTTTCCTCTCAAAATGTTCGTGTTTTCATAGCATCGAACAAACAACTGAGATCCTGTTGTGTCTCTCACCTGCTGAAGTTGCCAATCTCAAGGAAGGGATCAATTTTGTTCGAAATAAGAGCACTGGCAAAGATTACATCTTATATAAAAGTAAGAGCCACCTGCGAGCATGCAAGAATATGTGCAAGCACCAAGGAGGCCTGTTCATAAAAGATATCGAGGATTTAGACGGAAGGTAACACGCGTCCTTTGCTTTCTCCCTGGTGACCCTTCTTACAATTAGATTTGGCAGGAGATGTGTTCATTGAGAAATCAAATGAACCAACTGACAAATTATTTCTTTTAGCAAATTCATAACTTTTACTTGTGCTCACTGAGGCAACTCTCTGATCTCAAAACGTTATGACCTTTACTTAATTTCCCACTCTCTCTTAAGAACTCTAATTGAAAATTGATTCCTAGCTTGATAAACAGTGAAATTTCTAAGGTACGTGTGTGTGTGTGTGTGTGTGTGTGTGTGTGTGTGTGTGTGAGTGCTTGGGTATATGTAACAGCTTTTATTTTCCAGGACTCAAGCCTCCTCTGGGTTTCCTTTCCCACTCCCCCAGAAGTATGAGTGGGGCAGGTCCTTATCCAAACACTGCTGGAGAGCAGATAGACTTGCTTTGACTGACTCATGGTGATTAAAAACCCAAAATGGCAGAGCCCCAACTGTATCTGCCCTGAACAGCAGCTCTTCTAATCATTTCTTGGAAGAACTAGTGCTGGTACCCGTCTCCCGCCACTTGATGAAGCCTACAATATAGATCACCTTCCTCCCCAGTTCAGGAGCAATACCAGGACAGGATGGTTGTGGGTTTTGTTTGTTTGTTTTCAGTGACTGCCAAAGAGATAGCAGCACTGCCTGGCAGAGACAGGGGGAGTTCTGGGTGAGGGATGCTTTGTCAGCCTGATGGTCAACACCGGCAACGAATGAGTGGTTGATCGCACCTTTCCAAGCTCTGCTTCAGCCTAACTTGACCTGGGTGCTTTTTAGCCATTCCCACGTCTGGCTTGACTTCCACCGTGTTGTTGAGCTGATTTCTCGGGTCATCTGTGGGCAGTTTAGTGCAGGTGGACTCAGAGGGAGCTGTGTAGTTTTCTAAGAGCTCCCTGCTATAATCGTATAGAAGACCATCACCCAAGTCTAGAATGTTCTTACACCTGCACACAGATTTGCTTCACTGCATACTTAGTTTCAGGGCCCAGACACACACTATTAGATTTCTAAATGTGATAAACACTGTTGCACCTGTAGCTTGCTTGGCTCCTTCGATGGGGTTGATAGATTAGGCAAATAGAAGGCACCCAGTTAAATAACTAATATATTTTTAGCATAGATAGGTTGCAAGTATTGCATGGGACACAGTTTTAGCGACAGCTGTACTCTAGGAGAGCCTCATGGTTATTTGCTGACAGCCGTGTTTGGAGTCCCTTCCATCTTCTCAGTGTATTCAAGTTAGGGAAACCTCAGGCATGGCTTGTTCTGTCACTGGTAAGTTTCTGCAGGCACTCTTGGACCCTGAGGTTTTCTGACTGTTGCGGTCTGGGGACTCCGCGTTTCCTCTCTCCCTTTCTCTCCTTAGTGGGCTTTTCACTTGGTGCTCGCTGAGCCAGCCGTTCAAGGAAGTGTTGCAGCTTTGTGATTAGGAGCAATGATCTTTCCTCACAACCTGCCCTGTTCAGAAGCCTGCCCCCACCACCTATCAGCTCCGTGACCGTGGACAAGTTTCTTAGCCTTTCTGGACCTCAATTCTCTCCTCTATACAGTGAAATTGAGAGTATTACCTACTCTGTCTGACTGCTGAGAGGATTAAATGATTTCAAACACATAAAGCACTTAAAACAATGTCTGGCTATATGATAAGTGCTCAATAAATGTCAATTACATTTATCATTATTACTCTGTCATGAGCTTCTAGTGTAGCTTAGGAACAGAGGTTATTTACAGGAATTCAGATTGTTCTTGAACCTGGCTGGCTTATCTTAACAGAGTGATTGCTTTGCCACAGGCTGGCCTTTCTCTCCTTCACCCAAAGCCTTGGGGGTGATTGATCCTAGTTTCACCCTATTCTGTTGGCAGGCTAACCTAGAGCTGGCATTGTCTTAGTGCTCTGGCACATGAGGAACCAGCTTTATCTCCTGCACATTCTCCCAGCTTTATTCCCGGATGCAGCTCGCCAAGCATTGATGTGCTGAAACACCATCCTCAGAGTAACTCACACCCTATACTCCCCCATCCATCGCTCCAAATTTGACTGCTTCTCTGTGTAGCAATTCACCCGAGGAATCTCTCACCTAGGAGACAGTCAAGAGTAATGACCTACCTCTTCCACCCTCCCTACATTTTTCTTCTTCACACGTAACCAACATCAGCAACTCTCATAAGCTGTGGTTCTCATTTTCTAAATCTAACAACTTTTCCCAACCTCTTTGCACATGAAGCTGTCGCCTCCCTTCTGTCTACTTGCTGCCTATGAACAGTTAAGATCCTGCCACGTTTCCCCTTTAATGACCCAGCATGTTGAATAGCTGCGTTTGGAATGTTCTCAAGTTTTGAAATGTTGGCTACTCATTGATGAGAAAGTAGATGTTTCAGAATAATCCTCTATAAATTGAAGTGCGGAATATGTTTTTTGCCTTATTACTAGAAAAGAGCGTGAAAAATTCTTGATACAATGAAGCTTGGAAAAATCAGTGTAATTTACTGATATATAAGTTAAAATAGACATTGTTAGATTAAAAAACCTGATGTTTCCGGTTTGAGACATATTTGTTTGTAAAAAAAAATTCTTTAACTGTGGAAAAAAAACACAACTTTACGAGAAACACTACCAAAATAGAGAGGAAATGGAACTTTTATGCCTCATCTTCCACCACCACAACCCCCTTCGTGGTCTGGTAAGAAATAGAAAAAAATTACTAAGCCTTCTATTTTGCTGCAATCTGATTCTCATTCTGAAATAGGGTTGCCAGAGTTAGCAAATAAAAACGCAGAACACTCAGTTAAATTGCAGATAAATGATGACTTTCCAGTATATGTCACATATTGTGTGAGTTGTGTTTTTAAATTATTTCTTATTTATCTGAAATTCATATTTAACTGGGCATCCTGTATTTTATCTGGCAACCATGCTCTGAAATCTTAAACTTTAAGGAAGTCTTTTCTCTTCTGAAAACTTGAGTTGAACTTAGGTTTGGCACACTATACCAGGGGCTAAGGGTTGTAAAGTGATTATAAATCATAGGTATGTCTTAATGACTGCATTCTTTCCTCATATTGGCCCCAGTTGAATCTTAACCAACTTAGCTTTTGTATGAGAGCCATCCCTAAAGATGACTTTATTCTGATGGCTCTGTTGATCTCTAACACATATTATTTTGTGACATGGCATTTATCTTCACTTTTAAAATTGCCTACTGATGGTTAATCTATATGTCCTTGGATATTTGAGTATGAGCTATTAGTAGTTTTTCTTTCACGCATTTTATGTTCAACCAACTACAGTTGTTTATAATGCATTTAAGCCTAATAAGATGAATTTTTATTTTCACCATTTCATAAACCTAAGTATAATTTTTCATCCAGGTCTGTTAGATGCACAAAACACAACTGGAAGTTGGATATGAGCACCATGAAGTATATCAATCCTCCAGGGAGCTTCTGTCAAGACGAACTGGGTAAATATAACCCATATCGATCAATGTTTTCTGCTATTATTATTATTGGGGTCCTTCTTGTCAACTTGTTTCCAATCTCACTTGAAGCTTTGCGTATATCCTGATTTTAAACTATGGACATTAGATCTTTTAAAAATAATTAACACTGAAAATTCTAAACAGGATTTCTCCAAAAGATCCCTTCATTCATTCATTTGTTCAGTAAGTATCTGATGAGAACTTACCAGGTGTAAACATTGTATTGGGTATTAAGAGATACAAAGATGGATAATAGAGTCAGTGTAAATTAGATGACATTAACATGAGGTGGTGGCAAAGACAAGCCTGTGAACAACTAAGATCAGGGATACTCTGACAGGTTTCTTTGGTACAGTGTACTGTAGAATAGTGGCTCTGAATATTGTATCAGTGAAGACACACAAGATAGATATTCAAGTGCATGATCTTTTCAACAGTTATAATGAAATGCCACAGTTTCAGTTGGGAAATAAAGTCCTTCAAATTCCATGGCATAGGTAAGATGCTACAGTTTACATGTGATTCTCAGTATGCTGGCTCCACTTCTACTTTTTCCTTCCTCCTACTCAAGAAAGCAGGTAGAAATATGAGTAAGGAGGGCTTAATAATAGGAATAAATTTGTCTTTGACCTAAGTGATTAAAAGCGTGTTTTATCAGTAGAAAAAGTTACTTGGGAAGATTCTTAAAACTGCTCATGCACACTGTTTCAGAATGTCTGTTATAAGAATAAAAATATAGATTTGATCTAATCGGGGGAATCATAGAAAGCTTCATGCCAGAGATAGCATTTGTGTTGGGTTTTGAAAGATGGGCAGAATTTCATCAGGCAGAGAAGAGAAAGGAGGACATTTCTGGTAGAGGGGACAGCTTGGGCTGTTTTAGTTTATTTGGGGCCAAATGTGTAGTTTAGTTGGCTGGAGTACAGGGTATGTGTATCAGAGTAGTAGAACATAAGATTTCAAAGGTACATTGTAGGGAGGGCCTTGAATGTAGTTGAAGAATCATGACCTAATCCAGAATGTTATTAAGTGTGTGTTAGGTGTAGTATTAGGCACTTTGTGTGAATTATTTCACATTGACAATGCAGTAATGGGACTCAGTAATGGAGAGTCATTACCACCAAATTGTTCAACCCATCTGCCTCTGTGCCTGCATATACTTCCTTGACTCCTGTGACAGTTGACAGTGGCTGCACTGACCCTGCTCCTATGGCTCGCCCTGCTCTCGCACCCTGGATCCCACCTCACACCTACTTGAGGACTTCCCTCCTGCAGCTGTCCTTCTCTCTCCTGTATCATAAATTTCGTCTTTGCCTATTAACCCACAGGTACACACACACACGTGCGCACGCGCCCTAGTGTTCAGAGAAGCCCTCTTATGTTTCCATTTCTCCAAATGTCTAAACAGCTAAACCCCTTGAAACAGGCATCTCACACTCGTCGTCTCTGTTCCTTCCCCTCCCATCATCTCTCAGTGGAGCTTCCATCCCTACCACTCCGCTAACACTGCTCCTGTCAAGGTCACCAGTTTGCTAAATTCAGTGGTCGCTTTGCCATGGCCATTGTACTCAAACTCTCGGCATGCAGCCCAATGGCCCACTCTGTCCTTAATATGCAGCTGACCCTTGAACAATGCGGTTTGAACTGCATGGATATTTTCCAATAGTAAATACTATAGGACTACACCAGCCAAGGTTGGTTGAATCTGTGGATGCAGAGGAACAGCGGTTAAGAAGGGCCAACTATTGAGTTCTACATGAATTGACATATATATATATATATATATATATTTATATATATTTATTCGGTTGCACTGGGTCTTAGTTGTGGCATGTGTGCTCCTTAGTTGTGGCAGGTGAGCTCCTCAGTTGCAGCATGTGAGCTCTTAGTTGAAGCATGCATGTGGGATCTAGTTCCCTGACCAGGGATCGAACCCTGGCCCCCTGCATTGGGAGCATGGAATCTTAACCACTGCGCCACCAGGGAAGCCCCATGAATTGATTTCTAATAGGCATTACAAGCTGCGGCCAAAACAGAACTCCTAATGGCCAAGCCCACCTTATCCCCAGACCTGTTCCTCCTCCAGCCTTCTCCATCTTGGTAAATGACACTGTTTCCACTCAACTGAACAAAACCTGGTGGTCACTCTTGAGTCTTCTCTTTCCTTAAACCCCCATATCCAAACCATTAATAAATCCTGTGCCAAAACACCTTCAGAATCCATCCACTTCTCTCCGTCTGCTCTGTCTCCAACCAAATGCAAGTCACAGACACCTTTTGTCTGCACAACTGGCCTCCCTGCTTCCATGCTTGCTTCCTGCAGTCCATCCTGTTTACAGCACACAGCTTGATATTTTATTTTATTTTTGTTAATTTAATTTTATTTTATATTGGAGAATAGTTGATTTACAATGTTGTGTTAGTTTCAGGCTGGTTAGTACCAGACTGATATTTTAAAAATTCATGTCATTCCCCTGCTTAAAACTCTCCGATGAGCTTCCTATCACACTGAAGAAGGTGCATCCCTTTGACCCGGCAATTCCACATCCGAGACCATATGCCTAAGATCTTAATAATCACTGATATGTCAAAAGATACAGCTATGAGAATGTTCATTCACAGCAATACTATCTACAAAAGAGAAAAATTGAAAACAATTTAAACACTAGAAATAATTCCACTGTGTCTTAAAAGTGATTCTATTGAAGAAACTAAAATAATAAGAGTGACTTTTGATAAATAAAGCAGATTATAAATATTACATATAGTATGGCCCTATTATGAAAAAACATGTATACATAAGCACTTATGGACGGGGGCAGGCTCACCACTGGTTACCTGTGAAGGGAGCTGAATAGTGGGCTTCCTGGGCTGGACCTCCAGTCTGGGAACTTTGATTACACTACTTCTACATCTTTTTCAGGCTCAAATTATTGTATATGGAATAGGCTATCAGGGCCAGTGTTGCCCAGGTGTCTCGGTGAGACCAACTCCTAATCACTTTTTAAAGAAGGGTCTGACCTGCAAAGGCATTCTCCCAGTTCCCAGAGCAGAGGTGTCACTTACTGAGGTGCATGTCCTTTTCTGGTCACCCCCCAAAAGAGATAGAATGCTATTCTGGGGGAAGTTGCTGATTGCTTTGACTACAAGTTCATCCTCCCCCTGCCCCTCAAAGGGATGTCTCGGTTACTAGGTTCTTTTGCCAGTAAGCCTCATTCCATGTCTGTTGACCTAGCCTAGGAAACCTGCAGACTGCATTGTTAGCAGGAACTGTACAAATACTGTTAAATTTATTTGGCAGAAAACAGGTAAGAAGCAAAGGTTTGAACACATCAAACTGTTTGTGTAAGTGAAAGGACAATAGACTATCAACTTTATGAGTATGTAACCCAGAAATTGATAGCTGCTTAGGGGCCTTTATAAAACCTCTAAGTCTTTTGGACAAGACCTATAGTGAGACATTATAGCAAAGTGGTTAAGAGTGAATGGTGCAGGGCAGCCTGGGCTCAGATCCTGATGCTCAAACACACAATTAAATGACTTGGGGCAAGTTAGTCAATCTCTTTGTTCTTTAGTTTCCTCACTAGGATATAATATTGGTAGTAACTATCTTATTGCGTTGTTGAAAGAATTTTCAAAGTGAACAGCTGTGGGCTTCCCTGGTGGCGCAGTGGTTGAGAGTCCGCCTGCCTATGCAGGGGACACGGGTTCGTGCCCCGGTCTGGGAGGATCCCACATGCCGCGGAGCGGCTGGGCCCGTGAGCCATGGCCGCTGAGCCTGTGTGTCCGGAACCTGTGCTCTGCAACGGGAGAGGCCACAACAGTGAGAGGCCCGCGTATGGTAAAAAAAAAAAAAAAAAAAGAACAGCTGTTAAATTCTCAGAACTTGGTACACAGAGCCTAATGTTTTATTTGTATATGTATGTCTCAAATAATCTGCACATCACCCCTGTAACTGGGACCTTAGGAGCAGGAGGGAGGGATTTCCCACCCAGCAGAAAACTGGATCAATTGGAAAATAGATCGAGCCTGGGAACTGATGCAGAGGGCTGATGTTTGCTGCTATGGCAGGTGAAAGGCAGGGCTAGGGGTGGCAGCAGGGTCAGTGGAGGGCTGGAAATAACAAGACCACTAAATTTTTTAGCCTTTGCTCCAGTGAGGAAAGTGGAAAATTGAGAAAGTGGAAAATTTCCACTCTCTGTGAGAGTGGAAAATTTTGTTAACAGAGCCCACTTTTCAGTCCAGTGCTACCTACACTGTAGTGATTTCCTACCACATCCCAAGAAAGAGAAGGATGGCTTGATCTCGTATGAACTTAGATTATTTGATTTTATTATTATTATAAATAACAATATATGGTCATCATTAAAAAGGTAAAAATCAGGAAAGTAGAAGGAAGAAGACGCTCACTTGCACTCCCATCACCTCAAGACAACACCTGTTTTGGTATCTTTTCTTCCGGTTGTCACCAAGGTCCCCTTCCTTCCTCTCCCCAGCCTTCTCCTCCTCCTTCTCTTAACTGAGATATAATTCATGTACCATAAAATTCACCTTCTTAGAGTGTGCAACTCAATGGTTTTTAGTATTTTCACATGTTGTGCCATTACCACCACTATCTAATTCCAGAACATTCTCATCATCCCCAGAAGAAACCTTGTAACTATTAGCAGTCAGTCCCATTCCCCTCTTCCCTCATCCCCTGGCCAACCACTAATCTACTTTCTGTCGCTATGGCTTTTCCTGTATTGAACCAGGCTGGCATAAACCCCACTTGGTCATGGTCATAATTATTTTTTATATTGCTAAATTGTATTTGCTAATATTTGGTTAAGGATTTTTATGTCTATATTCATAAAGGAATATTGGTCTGTAGTTTTTTGTGTGTGATGTCTTTGTCTGATTTTGGGATCAGGGTAGTAATACTGCCCTCATAAAATGAGTTAGGAAGTGTTCCATCCTCTTCTGTTTATTGGAAGAATTTG